GGCTTTCTCATGTACAACTAATTTTGTCGATCTAAACAATTAACTGAACTAAGAGGGTGTTTGGTGTTTTATATATATATATATATATATATATATATGTTATGAAAATAAAAACATCCAAAATCACATAAGAAAGCATAACAATTTCTGAAATCTGTAATCAATTCAATATTTCCTAAGTCCAAAACAACATGTTTAATAAGCCTTGGCCAAAACATTCCGCCATCTAAAAGTCTAAACCATTCAATTATGGCAAACATTAATATAATACATTCAACCAATTCAAGAAAACTTAATTTTGTAGTTGAATTCAATCTTACTGTTCCAATAATTTAATAACTATATGTATATTCTAAATTCTAATACAGATAAAGTAAGCGTTATTGATTTAGTATAATTAAAAGATTAATTTATATTAAAAAATGACATGTTAAATAAAAAACATTGATGATTCCAAAGACCAATAAGTGAATCCAGAGTCTGGGTCAATTTCTATTTATTAAAGTTGTTAATTCTTTTTTAGATATAAAATAAAAAATTAATGAATACAACTAAAACAGAGAAACAACCTAATATTACCGGTAAACAATACATTTAAAATAATTTAGTCTAAAACAATTAATAATTTGTTATCTTTTTAGAACTTGAAAAAGGAAGTTAAGGGTATCAAATATTTTAAGACCAAACTCGTTTATTGATTTGAAAAATATATAATCGTTATGTGAATACACGAGTCAATAAATAGTTGTTAATGTGGAACATAAAATATGTTTTATATGATATATATATATATATATATATATATATATATATATTCTTGAGTAAATTACAATTTTCGTATATATGGTTTGTTAATAATTTCAATTTTCATCGTTGTGGCTTAAAAACTATGTCTTTTATCCTTATGGTTTGCAATTTATTTTTATTTTTATCTATGGAATAATGTCTACCTTTAAGTATAAATTATCAAAAGAATTGTGAACCACAAGGACCGAAACAACAATAAAATTGTAAATCATAAAAACGAAAATAATAATTAATTACAAACTATAACGACAAAAACAATTAATTTCTAAATCACAAGAAGGAAAATAAGAAACCATAGGGACAAACAACATAATTTCCCCTTTATTAATTCT